AGTAACTAATATCTTTTGACTTCAGAATTTACTGTCCTTGTATTTATTTGTGAAGAGGGACTTACTGTGAATATTTCATATATATATTTCATATATATTTCATATATCAGTTTTGTTCAACTTAGTTTTTGTAGTGAAATGTTTTAATTCATTCTGTTCTCGTTGTCTTTTGTGTGTATTCTGTAACTGTTAGACTTTTTCTGGTTACCATGAAGATTATTAGCTAACATCCTAAAGATTTAACATCCTAATTTGAATCTGTACAAAATCTCTACTCCTTTATAGCTCCTTTTCAATCTCTTTTGGTTTTTGATGGCACAAAATTACATCTTTGCACATTTGTGCTAAAAGAATAAAGAAATTTTTAAATGCATTAGTCTCTAAAATCATATAAAAACGTGGATTTTCCCATGAATTTACTTTTGTTGAAATCTTTATTTCTTCAGATACTTAGAGTTACTGTTCAGTATGTTTGCATTTTACCCTACAGGTCTCTTAGAGCATTCATTTCCTTCAGGGCACATCTAGGAATAGTGAACTCCCTCAACTTTTGTTTATCTAGAAATATCTTTCTCACTCACTTTCAAAGGTTCATTTTGCCATATTTAAGATTTTTGGTTAAGGTCGGGTGTGGTGGTGCATGCCGGTAATCCCAGCACTCAGGAGGCTGAGGCAGGAGGATTGCTGTGAGTTCGAGACCTGCCTGGACTACATAATGAGTTCCAGTTCAGTCGCAGCTACACAGTGAGACTCTGTCTCAAAAAAAAAGATTTTTGGTTATCACTTAATTTTCTTTTAAGACTTTGAATATATCCATCCACTGCCTTCAGATCCCCTGAGTTTCGATAAGAAATTTACTCAAAATATTATTGATGATCTCTTGTATGTAACAGAAGCTTTGAAAATTCTTCTGGCTTTTCAAGGCTTGCTTATGATGTGGCTCTGTATGATTTTCTTCAAGTTCCCATTGCATGGAGTTTTTTTTAATCTTTTTGGATGTTTATTCTCATACTCTTGTCAAATCTGTAGAGGTTCTTCATTATTTCTTGGATTATTTTCTTTGTGTTTTCTCTCTTCAGATGCTGCTACTCTGTATAAGTTGGTATAGAACCCAATGATACAAAGCAACAGTGTATGCTTTCCTTACACAGTAGGTAATTATTTATTAATCAGGTCATTCAGCAAATTATTATTAAACTCCAATAAAGTAGCAGACACTTTCAGTGTTATTCACTTTTCCTCAGAACTGAAGCCTTCTCTATTGCCTGTTGTGTGATAATAAGGCAAGCACCTTTTATGTTTATTATAGAATCTTTGCTCCCAAACTGATAAGGCATGCATTTGATACAAATCTGAAAAGCTTATTGAAAAGTTCATTCAACTGTTATGTTAAAAAATTAAGTACTTATTAAAAAGAAAAGAATATACATGTGTGTGCCAGTCTTGGCAGCTATTTCCAAGCGAGATCAGCATCAGAGAAGCCACATAATCAAACAAAAACTACAGTTTTTCTGGGTTGGTCCCTCTTCATCACCCAAGTGCTAGTGGAAGAAAGTCTGGAGTTGTTTCCATGCATCCACCTGGGCCATGGCAGAAGTCCTGGGCTCCCCTCCCCAGAAGACAGGACCACCCACCAAGGAGTACAGAGTTACCTGGCACAAGGGGGAGAGTACACTGGCAAAATGTTGTGTCTTGTCCTTGGTAACAGATGATCTGGGGCTTTGTCTTCCCCTAGGCCCCTGCATAGAACTCACTCTTCCAATTGTGGTCATCCTGACCTACAAGCAACAGGAAGGTGGTGTCAGACCTTTCCACACGAATGAAGCTCTCTGGTCAGGTTCCAAAGGGCTGTTCAGGGCAACCACAATGTCTTTGATGCTATCTTTAGTTATCTTGACTCTGTCTTTCTGGAGCCGATGAAGGACTTGATATTTCATGGAAAGGAGGATGAAGGCAAAGGATGCTTTGATAGCTGCAGGGTTTGCTGGCCAGGAAGGCTGGCAATCATGGTCAGGTTGTGATCTGTTTGGTCATTGTTTCAGGATCTATCAGGTAGGGCCTTGTCAGCCATAAGTGAGTTGCTGGTGGGGAGGTGGGAGTAGTTTCAGTACTTGTTACAGCTGTTTATCCATCTGACCTGGCCCTGGAATTCAAGTTGACTACACAAGAGAATAACAAAGACAACAAGATAAGTCAGCAAAGCAAGATGGAGTTAGTTCCTTCAGGACTAGGACACTGACTAGAAACTGAGGTACTGAACAGGATGTTCATAAAAGCTGGCAGCTGACAGTCTGTTGATTAGGATGTCCCTGCAAATCTTGAAAGTGCCTTAATTACTTTTATCTTGGTGCTTTCAGCCCGGGAGGGAGGAGAATAGGATTATCACCTGTGCACAAATATCCCTTAAATGGTTAACATGTCTACTACAAACTTGAGTGGGAATCTGATCCAAAGTTCAAAGTGGCAAAGGAGACAGATGAAAAATGAAGTCAGGGATGCTAAGCTCTTATTTTGCTTTTAGTTATCTACTGGGCATCCATAGACCCAAGAAAAGAATCAGTGCTTTTAACAAAAAGCATCCCCTAGGGGCTGGGGATTTAGCTCAGCGGTTCAGTGACCTGCCTTGCAAGTGCAAGGACCTGAGTTCAATCCACAGTACCAAAAAAAAAAAAAAAAAAAAAAAGCATCCTCTAAATCCCTGCTGTACTTTTACTGTGTAGGCCATTCTCTTTACAGTTGATTTTTTTGCTAGTTACTATTTTAATATGTACCAATTATAATATTTTAAGGTTTTTACTAAAGAACCACTTTCTCGGTTTTACATTTCTTCCACTGTAGAGCATCATTAGGATCACTGAAACCAACCGGCAAGAGGAAGCTTTAACAATCATACTGTAATAGTGAAATCTGGGTCCCTGTCTCCCAAAGTCAAAGAATGAATTTGAGGACAAAGGGGGAAGACAAGAAGAATGTTTATTAAGAGAGAGGGCCAGGGATTTAGCTCAATGGTGCTGTACCTGCCTTGCAAGCACGATGTCCTGAGTTCAATCCCTGGTACTGGAAAAAAAAAATGAGGGGAGGAGGAGGAAGGAAATAGTTCCCAATAGTCAGGAGGGGGCCAAAGGGACTCTTTGTCCAGGAGTTTTTATACCAAAAATGACCAGGACTCAGACGGCTCTGAGTCAAACTACCATCAGGACTTAAATAAGGTTTATAGAACTTAAACAAGCTTACTTAGACTAGAGATGGTCCTGTGAGGAATTGATACACATAGCAAGTATATATCTGCAGGTGCCTCTTGGTCACTGTCCTATCCAAGTGGTTTATTAAAAGTAAAAGTGAGGAGAAAAACATTTTCCCAATAGGTAGGAGCAGAACTTATCATACTGGTCTTCTATCACATTGCCTATTACCTTGCTTGTTACATGCCTGGATTGTCTACCTGATTCTTGTTAACTCTTGACCATATTAGTTGGGTATCGGGGTGCTGTGAACTCTTTCCAGGGGTCCCTTTGCAAGCTTTTGTTGTCCTGAACAAAAAATTGGATAGGAAAGACCACAAAGAGGGTGGTCCACTGCAGCATGGGCCACCCCCCGGGCGACATGAAGTGATGCTCATGCACTGTGGGGGCACAGCCCACTGTTGGGCCTGTGTCAGTCCAGCACCTCCCCTTCCACTGTTATCAGGAAGTGACTTGCCAAATAAATGTGACCAGGTTTTGGGTTGCTCGCCTCTCCTTCTGAAGTTAGATTCCAGGTTCTTCTCACCTTGAACAACGAATGAAGCAACCAAAGAGCAGTGACAGAATTTATTTGAAAAAGTAAAACTGAAGTGTGAGGGAGAAACTGACTCTGCAGAGCAGGCTTGGATCGAGTAAAAGAAGAAAAGGCAGGATAAAAGTGCACCCTGAGGGATACAGGGCAGGCTGGAAATGAGGAAATGAGGAAAGCCATGCCAGCAAGCTCTTCTTGGCGTCTTTGTCCTTTTATGCTGTCCAAATCTCCAGGAAACTGTGGAGTACTTCTACAAATGGTCCTGAGAGGCAGTGCTGGATTTTTAGGCCTCAGGCTGAGCTCAGGTCTAGTCCTTTCTATTAAAAACTTGCTGCAGGCTGGGGATTTAGCTCAGTGGCACTGTGCCTACCTCAGAAGTGAAAGAGAGAGAGAGAGAGAGGAAGGAAAGAAGGAAAAAGAAAGAAAGAACCTGCTGAAGTTGTAGGGAGAAGTCCACATGCAGGGCTTTGGGAACTGTTGTGCACATAATCTTGGGGATCTTGTAATTAACAGGTCACATCTACTTCTCTATCCAGTTTTGCCATGCCCTAATCTCTGATCTCACCTCCAAGAAGGCCAACTGCAGGTCCCACTTCAACAAGTGCCAAAGAGGCCTGTCAGGCTGTATGGCCCAGAGCAGCCCCATGGGGTAAAGGCCAGCAAATCTGCTGCCCAATGCTGGCATGCACTCTAGGTCCATCTGGTTGGAAGTCTATGCAGTAGTGTGCATGGGCCCAGAAGAGCTTACCCTTCTTATGGCATAAGGACAGGAGGACAGGTGCAGTTTGATGGTTTGTTAGGGGACCAGGCTCCACACGGTGATGCAGGCTGGCTTTCAGAGAGGCAGTGGCCCACAGGCTCCAGAATCAGTAGAGTCTCTGTGCCAGACATCGAACTTGAGGCCAAGTACAGGTCAGCTCTGGCCCACTTACTGCTGAGCATGTAAACCTCTCCTCCAGTGCTGTGGTGTGAAGATCTAGCAAGACATGCTTTTGTCTGTAACTACCCAATAAATCACACTTTTGGTGATCCTGAAACTCTTTGCCTCTTTTGTTCATTCACTGAGACTATTCCTTCTTTGCAAGAGGTACTGGTCCAGTTTCAAGAGGCAGAGAGTTTCAGTCAATCCCACTGCCTCAGCCTCCCAAGTATTTGGAACTATAGGTATGAAGTCTTGCTTCTGACTTCTAAATTCTTTTGATTCTTACACCAATAGTTTGTAGTTTCATTCTTCACTCTGCAATACCTCCCTATGTCATCTTTATTTTCCCATTTATTATCTACTACTTCTCACAAGAATTTAGAGAAGAAATCATCTTTTCAGTTGTTTCAGATGCATGGTATGCAACATGACTTGGTTAATAGGCTCCCAAATCTCTGCTACATTTGTTTTTTATCCCACGTGACTGTGTCCATCATGACTCCAGTGTGACAAACTCAGATTCCTTAAAGTGTCTAGGACCATCCCATTTACTCTGGGCTGATGAGTATTCAAGGCTTGTAGGAAAGAAGAAAAAGGGAGGAAAGCAGAAGGAAGGGCAAACCCATAAACATTTTAACAAGGGAAGTAGGTGTGAGCAATGTATGGCTAATTGTCATCCATATACCTACCCAAGACCAAACGACTGCATCAGGGTGAGGATACTGAGCCCCACACCGAATATGAAAGGAACATCTCTCAGACTCAGGTTCCTCATCCAGAAAATGAAGAAGACACCACTCTTAAGACTGCTGGGGATTCCATGACAAACATGGAAATATTTTTAGAAAACTAACAAAATAAATCTGGTGTGGTGGTTTACACTTGTAATCTCAGCCACTCAATAGGCTGAGGCATTAGCATTTCAAATTTGTGGCCAGCCTATGAAACTTAGTGAGATCTTGTGTCAAAAATAAAAAAGACTTGGGTACAGTTCAGTGATAGAGCACTCGCCTAGCATGCATTGCCCTACAGGTTCAGTTTCTAGTACTGAGGAAAGAAACAGAACTGATGAAACAAAAACAGCACTGTTCTTTTTGATTTTCAATTTTTAAAAACTATCAGGAATTTCCTTTTAAGAAAGAAAATTGAACTGGGCATTGGGCACACTCCTGGAATCCCAGCATTTGGGAGGCTGAGGCAGGAGGATCACTGTGAGTTCAAGACCAGCCGAGGCTATATGTTGGGTTCAAGAATTCAAGTCTAATCCAAATTACATAGTAAGATCTTGTCTCAAAAAAGAAAGAAGGAAAGAAAGAAAAGAAAATTGAGAAAACAATACAATAGCCTTAAATTAATGTATTTTATTTTAAGGATAGTGAAAGTTTATGTGACATTTATTGTTTATTGTAGAAATATTTATATCCAGTGATACAAATGTCATATTATTTCATGTTTATCATTAAAATCATCTACATAATCTAAACATTTTACCAGCTTTTGAAACAGCTAAATTATAAGGGTCCATATACATCTAACAAAATTTATTTAGTAAAAGGATTCTTATTCATGAAAAGGGGAAAATATCAAAGAAGCAAAAATCTATTTCCTTTGAAACATGTTAGTACTTTTATGTCTAATTAGCAGCCAGCTTATAGCAGATACTACTGTTCTTAAAGGAGAACTGCAAATCTGATTGGGGGGGGGTTGGCACCGGGAATCAAATTCAGGACCTTGTGCTTGCCAGGTAGGCATGGCAGCACTGAGCTAAACCCCGGCCTTTTTTGGTTTTTTGTTTTGGTACCAGGAATCAAACGCAGGACTTTGTGCTTGCCAGAGAGACACAGCGCCACTGAGCTATAACCCCAGCCATGATATATTTTTGATATTACAGAAATCTCAATATCTTAGGAGTTGGTTGCAAGACCCCAAATCTGAAGATGAAGCTCAATTTCTGGGTAGAAAATGGCATAGTATTTGCATGTAACCTACACACACCTTTCTATATACTTTTAAATCTCTAGATTACTTATAACCCCTAATACAAGTAAATACTATGGGAACAGGTATGATACTATATTGTTAAGGGGATAATGTAGAAAAGTCTGTATATGTTCAGTAGAGGAACAATGTTTTTTAGGATATTTCAATCCATGGTTGGTTGAATCTACAGATACAGAACCCATGGAAATGAAGGGCCAACTGTATACACATTGGTTACATAGTAAATAATCATTTATTTATTAATCACTCATTCAGCAAACAACTGTTGAGGTCCAGTTATATAGCAGGAACCATTAACAAGTGTTACTCACTTTTCCTTACAGTGCTAAAGCCTTCTTGGTTGCATGCTCTGCAGCAGTAAGAGATAACCTTTTTCCACCTCTTATGTTCTCTGCAGAATCTTCCTCCCAAACTGATTAAATGTTCACTTTATAAAAATTGTAAATACTCTTATTGATAAGTTCATTTTAATTGTGATGATAGAAAATCAAGCCGGGCATGGTGGCACACGCCTGTAATTTCAGCACTTGGGAGGCTGAGGCAGGAGGATCACTGTGAGTTCGAGACCAGCCTGGGCTGCATAGTGAGTTCCAGGTCAGTCTCAACTACATAGTGAGACTCTGTCTCAAAAAGACAAACAAAGAAAAAAGAATATCTCTTAGTAGTTATTAAAAAGAAAATAATGCATGTACACCCTAGCTAGTCCCAGTAGCTATTCTCAGGTGAGATCAGCTTCAGAGATGCCACAAAATCAAACAAAAATTACAGTTTTGCTGGGATGGTCCCTGCTTGACCACATACATGTTCTTGGAAGAAAGTCTGGAGTTGTTTCCATGCATCTACCTGGGCCATGGCATGAGTCCTGGGCTCCCTTCCATAGATGACAGGACCACCCACCAAGGGGTGCAGGGTTACCTGGCACAAGGGGAAGTAAGGGGGCTCAATATGACCCATTTCTGGGGAACAGATGATCTGGGGCTTTTTCTTCCCATGGGCCTGTAAGTGCTTAGAGGCCTCATTAGCATAGAACTCACTCTTACAGTTGTGGTCATCCTGACCTACAAGGAACAGGAAGGTGGTGTCAGACCTTTCCACAGGAATGAAGCTCTTCTGGTCAGGTCCTTCCAAAGGGCTGCACAGAACATCTGCAATGACTTCGATGCCATCTTTGGTCACCTTGATTCGCTTTTGCTGGCAGCCCACAGAGGACAGGGTCTCATCCTTGCTGTGTAAGATTCTCCCCATATTGGCCACAGAGCCATTGATTATGTCAGCAGCTGTGATGCCCTACAGGAAAGAGGCCATGGAGATGCAGAGTTCACCCCCTGTGGAGAGCCCAAGCAGCCCAATTCCTGGACTTTTTACCTGGAAACAGAACAGAAGAGAAAGGAGTGCATGAACTGTCTACTACAGTGAGTAGCTCCTATCAGGAGAATCAGAATCTGGGCTGCAACAATATCCTAGTTTTAAAAAGGTGGTTAACAACAACAAAAACTCCAAGTAGCTAAATCCATTTTCACCAACTTCAAAATGTATTAAGCTATCGCTATCTAAACAGCATAATGTTTGCATAAAAACAGACACACAGGCCAATCTAACAGGATAGACAGCCTACAAGTCAACGGGAGGTTTTGCAGACAGCTGATTTTTAACAAGGTGCTAAGGACAGGTATTGAAGAAAAGACACAGTGTTTTTTTTTTTTTTCAAGAAATGATGCTGGGAAAAAACCACATATCCACATACAAAAGAATGAAACTGAACACCCATTTCTCACCAGTTACAAAAATAAAAATGGATTAAAAGATTTAAATGCAAGACCTGAAACTATGAAACTGCTGGAGGAAAACATAGGAAAAACACTTCAGGACATTGGAATGGGTAAGGACTTTTGGACAGTGCCCCCAAAGCACAGGAAACCAAAGCTAAAAGAGACAACATTAAATCAAATTAAAAAGGTGCACAGCAAAGGAAATAATTAATAAAGTGAAGATACCACTTGCAGAATGGGAGAAAATATTTTCAGATCTTACATCTGACAAGGAGTTAATATCCAGAATATATAAGGAACTTCAAAAACTCAATAGCAAAAATACAAATAAGAAAATTAGAGGGCTTTTAGCTCAGTGGTTCTGCCACCTGCCTCACAAGCTCAAGGTCCTGAGTTCGGTCCTTGGTACCAAAAGAAAAAAGAAAAAAAAAATTAGAAAGTAGGCAGTAGGCATGGATGTTATCAAAAGACATAAATGGTCAACACATACATGAAAAATTATTCAGCATCACTAGTCATGAGCAAAATGTAATTAAAACTACAATGAGATACCACCTCACTCCATACAGAATGGCTGTTATCAAAAAGACATAAGATAACAAGTGTTAGTAATGATGTGGAGAAAAGGGTGTCCTTCCACACTGTTATGTCAATTAGTAAAATCATTATGGAAAACATTATGGAGGCTTCTCAAAAACTTAAAAATAGAACTATAATAAGGTCTAACAATCCCACTACTGGGTAGGTATCTAAAGGAAATGAAATCAGTATGTGGAAGAGATATCCACACTCCATTATTCACTACAGAACTATTCACAATAGCCAAGGTATGGAAACAACCTAAGCATCCATCAGCTGATGAATGGATGGAGGAAATGTGGTACACACACACAATGCAATACTATTCAGCCATAAAAAAGAATGAGATCCTGTCCTTTATGACAATATGGTTGGAACAGGAGATTGCCATATTGTTTAAAATAAGCAAGACAGAGCCACATCATCTCACTTATGTATGCAATCTAAAAACTGAATCTCATAGAAGCCGATAGTAGAAGTATGGTTATCAGAAGGCCAGGCGAGTAAAGGATTGGGAAATACTGATCAATGGGTATTAACTTTTAATTACACAGGAAAAGAAATACGTGCCATTGCACAGTAGGGTGACTGTAGGTAACAATTATATACTATACATTTTATTTTATTTTATTTTATTGGTACCAGGGATCAAACTTGACCTTGCACTTGTAAGGCAGGTGCAGCGCCACTGAGTTAAATCCCTGGCCCTGTACTATGCATTTTAAAAAGCAACAAGAAATGATTTTAAAAGATTTCACCATAAAGAAATGTTTAAGCAAGCGCCGGGAGGTAGGCTGGGCCCTGATCCACCGCGGGAAGGAGAGACACGACTGCTCCCGACCCAGCCACCATCACTCAAGCACCGGGAAGTTAGCCACACAGGAGCCCCTGAACCCCCATAAGCGCCCCCCCCGCATTCTCAGTCCTCCTGACTGTGCCAGTCTTTGGACCCACTCTGCAGAGGCAGAGGTGGTCATCAAGGGTATTTTTCTGAGTTCCCAACTTTGAACATCTTTAAAGAACTGGCGTGGGAAACCTGTAATAGAACGGTGTGGAGTTCAACCATTCAGAAGGTTGGGGAACTCAATCTGGGCCTTGCAGCCCGAGGTCAGTCAGCGTCATGGGGTTCAGCCATCAGCTAACTGAGATCAGGGGTCTTGCATCCTCGCTCTGTCTGAGCCATTAAGTGGTAAATACACTATATTGAAATTTTGTTCACTGCAGACATGTTCTGGACTGGTTCTTGATTTCAATTTAGTTCAAATGATTTAAGGGTGATAGACTAGTGACTACTACCGGTGGTCAGTGTCAAAGTTGTGCTTGATCTTAATGTGTTGCTGATTGTATCAGTTGGGGTAAAGCATTGCGGTTGATTTGATGAGCTGTTTTCTCTGATGTTATGAAGATGAGAATGTCTGTGGGTCATTAGAGACACAGAAGCTAGGGCGCAACTATATCAGGAAGATTTGGGTAATAATCCAGAGATTAAACCAAGGACAGTCCGACAACAAAAATAAAAATGAGAAAACACTTAAGCAAGACACAAGGACAGACTTCCAGTTCACCAATGGCAAACAGTAGGGCAAATGAGGACGAAAAGACCAATAGTGAACCACCAGGACACCCTGAACTCAAAGCACAGGAAGTAACAAAACAGATCAATCAGGCTCTAGAAAAATTCAAAACAGAAATAATTTCCCAGATAACCATAGAGATAGTGAGCAAAATGGAAGTCGTGATTCAAGACTCTAGAGCAGAAACTGACAAAAAAATAGATGAGCTCAGGACCATGATAGAAGCCATGAAGGCCCAGCATAAGAAAGAAATGGAAAAAATAAACGCCCAACATAGGAAAGAAATGGAATCCATAAAACAGATTCAAACAGATATCCAGGAGATTAAACACTCTATTGAAAGTGTACGCAACAGAATAAAAGAATGCGAAGATAGGCTCTCAGATATAGAAGATAAGATTGCAGTCAGTGACCATGAAAAGAGAGGTCTCTTAAAAACAGTAAGAGATCATGAGAAATCGATCCAACAACTCCTAGATGATGCAAAGAAGAATAACATAAGACTGATAGGAATCCATGAAGTAGCAGGAGAAAATACAAATGACTTAAAAAAGCTGTTTGCAGAATTAATGACAGAAAACTTCCCAAACAGAGGGGAAGAATTTGACATTCAGATAACTGAGGCATATAGGACCCCAACTAGCTACAATCAAAAAAAATCTACACCTAGACATATAATAATCAAGATCCCAGAAACCCAACAGAAGAACAAAATACTACAAGCAGTAAGAGAAAAGAAACAAATCACATACAAAGGAAAGCCCATCAGAATCACAGCAGACTTTTCAACACAAACCCTTGGGGCAAGGAGAGCCTGGAATGAGATATTTCAAGTACTAAAAGAGAACAACCTCCAACCTAGACTGATGTATCCAGCAAAACTCTCTTTCAAAATGGATGGGGAAATAAGACACTTCCACGACAAAGAACACCTGAGAAACTACATGAATACCAAACCAGCACTACAAGCAATTCTAAACAAGATCCTAGAAAAAGACAATGAAGGCAACAACACCATGAGGCCCAACAGAGCAAATCAAATAGGCAAGGCAAGAAATTAAAAGGAGAAGGTGAAAAAGTAAAAAGAGTCAACAAAAGGCCAATAACATGTCAATAATAAGTCAGTACATATCAGTTATAACCAGCAATGTCAATGGCCTCAACTCACCAATCAAGAGAAATAGACTGGCAAAATGGAATAAGAAGCAAAATCCAACAATATGTTGTATACAAGAAACACACCTAGTGCAAAAAGAAGCCCATAGACTGAAAGTGAAAAGATAGAAAACAATTCTCCATGTGACAGGAGCCCAGAAAAAAACAGGGGTAGCAATCTTATTTGCAGACAAAGTAAATTTCAAACCAAAACTGAATCTAGTATTATTGATGTAGGACAGTACTGTATCATACCTCTATGAATGTAAAATATCTAGTACCTGCTTTATGATACATAGTAGGGACCGTGCTTTATCAGAGCTACATTTAATGATATTACTCTAGAATGTTCTCTTTCCAGATGATGATTAAGAGGCTAATAGAAAAAATGGTGCCAGGTACCACAACAGCAACAGAACTTTGCTGTTGTCTGGATATTATTCTTTTCTTTGTTTTTTTTTTTTTTTTTTTTTGTTTTTAATGGAATGTGCTGAATGTCTATAATTTTGTTCAGATGACTGCAGAACCTGGAAAAGCTGTTGCTGCTATCGATGCATAACATACTATTATTAGTCTTTATATATATATATATACATACACACATACATACATATACATATGTATTGGGGTCAAATGAGATCTAAGGCTGGACTCTAATCTATATAACTATTTGGAGAAAAGGCTTCTTAAAAGGTTGAGGGATTAGAGTAATCCCTTAGGGTGGGAACCTGATACCATGTGTCCAGGTGCCCTTTTAATAAGAGAAAATTCTTACTGTCCTAAATGTAATTACAAAGGTCCAGAGGAGAAGGGAGGAGCCAGGAGGAGGGGATAGTTAATCTGTTAACAAGCTACAGGCCAAAAAGAACAATAAGGCTTTTCATACTTTTTTTTTTTTTTTTTTTTTTTTTTTTTTTTTTTTTTTTTTTTTTTTTTTTTAATGGAATGTGCTGAATGTCTATAATTTTGTTCAGATGACTGCAGAACCTGGAAAAGCTGTTGCTGCTATCGATGCATAACATACTATTATTAGTCTTTATACACACACACACACACACACACACACACACATATATAAATTGAATTTTGGGAAACTTTAACGGTGCTGCCAACTTTGGAAAAAGTCATCCCAATTTACTGTGTTGAGTTGGCATTGTACAGAAATGGACAGCCATATTGGTCTAGCAATGTTAATTTATTTTTTATTTTTTTCCATGTGTACAGGGGTAACACATCATACTTAATATGTAAAGTCATATATACGTGGGTTTGATTACAGAAACTAAGAAAGTATTCTCTAAATAATGAAAAAAAGAATAAGATAAGACTATAAGAGCAAGAAAGAAGCAATTTAAATATGTTCGGGGACCATTTTCATCTGCAGAATTAAGGATTATTTTAATGTTACATCATTGCCTTTTCTCTTTTACTTTCCTTTTTAGTTTTACTTTAGGATTCCCTATTTTTAATGTTTATACTGAGATTTCTTTAACTGAAATACCGAATAGTTTCTTTGGTGTGAAAAACTGTAATAGTACACAGGATCCTAATGAGATAATTAATGTGAAATAGGAAGTAAAGGGCTAAAGGTGTAGGGATGGTGGGAAGGGTGGGGGAAAGGTAATAAGGGAGAGGAAAAAAATACGAGAAACCGAAAAAATGGAAATAAAGTGTTTGTAAATGGGGAGGGGAGGAGGGGGTGAAAGGAGGGCAGGGACAAGGGGAAAAAATGAGAATCAAGACCTATTATGTAAAGGTACAGAATCTCAATGATGAATGTAACTGTATTGTATACCTAGATTGTACCAAGAAACTCAATTAAAGTTGAAAAAAAAAGAGAAATGTTTGAGCAGATATATTTAACTGAATTTCAACATTGTGTACTATTTACAGGTAGCAAAACATTACATGTTAGCCCATTAATATATATACTTTTTGTCTTCAGTATTAATTAAACATATATTTTAAAATTTAAAATTTTGAGCCTGGCATGGTGGCACACACCTGAAATCCCAGCACTTGGGAGGCTGAGGCAGGAGGATCGCTGTGAATTCAAGACCAGCCTGGGCTACATAGTGAGTTCCAGGTCAGTCTCAACTACAAAGTGAGACCGTGTCTCAAAAAAACAAAAACAAAAAAAAATTAAAATTTTGTTAGCAGTCCCTTGAGGTCAAGTCATGTGAGAAACCATATGTAAAGTACCAGGAGTGATGCCTGTCATTGAGAAGCATTCAAGTCCAAAAAGTGTTGAGCACTGGTTTGCATGTATAAGAACTAGATCTGCATTTTGAGGAAGAGAAGGCCTATGCTTCAAAGAAAAAATTTCTCTCTGAAATTAATTTTTATTTTATCAAAGAACTTTAGAGATACTTGAATGGCTACCTAGTTGACACGTGTGCAGTATAAAATCATAGTCAACTGTACATGAATAAGCCAAAGTATCAGTGTATGCCTACTTGGTATCTTGTACTTTCCTATTAACTTTTCTGTATTTATAGTGTTTATAACGTGTTAGCAGGTACCAAAAGTTTTAAGAAAACATAATGTCTAGAATGTCAACACTACTATTCTTCCTACTAATAATAGCTAATGTTTCTTTCTCAAAGAGGCTCTTCCTGGCTCTGTCTAGTCCCATACAATTTCATACCCACTATTTTTAATCAGTTCCCTGTTAATTTCCTTTTAATACTTTGATTATTAAAGTTCTTTTTTCTCTCACCCTCCCTCTTCTATCCCCATACTGTATTCTAAATCATGTGACCACGAACCTAACTGTACACAATGCCTGGATCCTCTAGTGTTTGCTGAATGAATACATGTTATCATCAAATGTCAGCCCATTGCAAGGGTTTCACAAGTGTGATTCATTTAGCTTTCGTAACAAACATGAAGATGAGATACAAATTCACACCTACGAAGCAACGATGCTGCTAAGGTGATCATCCCTCCTGTTTTGTGTGGGCCTATCCCAGTCCTAGCACAAAATGGCCTGTACCCTAGGAAACCCTCAGGCATGGCCAAACTGCAGTGTTTGGTCACCTCATCTGGGATGTCAATACTTGGCTAACTGATTCTATGCCCTATGATAGTGATGGCAAACCTGTTAGGAGTGCCCAAAATGCAACCCAAAACCCACTTACTTATCTCAGAGTGTCAACACTGCAAGTAAACTTGAATACTGAGGTTTTAGTTTAGAAAAAACAACTCATACATTAACATCGTTTGTCTTAAAAGAAGAACAAATAACATGCATGCCATAGATTCACCACCACTGCCTTATGAGATTATCCCAGCTCAGAAATGGACTTGTCCCTGTGACTCTGGAAGAGACTAAATATTTGATTTTGTCACAGAACACCCTTAGGCAATGGAGTTGAAAAATCTGACTTTGTCTTAGTGAAGAATTTAGGAATCTGCTGTCTAAACCAAAAGACTAAAAGAATAGCCAACCTGAGGGTAATTGAGTAGGGAGTACAAGGCTTCTTCGAAGTACTCCAGGTGGATGACATCCATATCCTGGGGGAGGTCATCATAGTTATAAAAAGCCAGAGCCATCACAGCAAAACCCTTCCCAGCCATCAGACTAGCTCGATACTTTAGAAGGCCTCTTCCAATTCCATAAAGATCCATAATCCCAGGAAAGGGCCTGGGTCCTTGGAAAGAAACAAAACAAAGATGTAGTCCTCCAGTGACTTGGAATCTGGCTCATTTATTTGGGGGGAGGGTGCTGAGGAAAGGCTGATTACCCAAAACCCCTTTTCTGTGTTAAGAATATGATGATGAGATCCAGAAGACTACCTTTCAGTAAAAATGTCAGCTGGGAAGATCTGCCGTCTTCTTGTGACCTAGACCTACTCCCTTGATTCATATAGAGAGATAGCCATGATTTAGAATGTACTCAGATCAACAGCATTAGCACTGAGTCCACAGCAGCCCAGAGTGTCCAGCATTAGTAATGTGCAGTGGTGGAATTGTGCTGTGACTGGCTGGGGTTCCTGGTATATTTCTCTTTGATCCTATCAATTGTCTGATCTTGATTCTTCTGTCTTCTGTCAGTTGGGTTACTAAGCCCATTGCACTGCAGCAAGTTCCTTTACTATTTAAGCAATCCAAAGTCTTTTTTTAATGCTTGCAATTCAAAATTCTGGTCAACAACTTTCGATTTAAAAGCCATTATTAAGCTTCTTGGAAATACCCCATAGAGAACTCCAAGTTCTCAGTCAACATCTGAACATTCTTTGGCAAGGCTTATGACTTTCAAGATTGCCATCAAACCAGTCAGAGTCCACCTTTCACCCACACCTGGTGCCATAAATTCCTACTTCATAATTAGAGTAAAAGTTTAACTAACATGACCTAGCTTATTGTTTTTTTTTCTTTCCAAATTCAAGGAGAAGAGGATCCATCCAGACTATGAATAATGTGTCGATGAATATAGCACAATTTATTTTTCCTTTTAGATGATCCTTAAGGTTGCTGGTATTTGTTGTAACATACTGCTGCTACAAACATTCTGTAAATAACAGATACAAGCATTTTCCTAGGGCTAGACATAGAAAAGCTATGCTTCAGGTTTTTATGTCATAGGCACATTTCAATTTTTTCTAAGAACTTTCAAGTTGTTTTTCAATTTACACTCCTTCCAGGAGAGTGTTCTGTCCTTATTTTACTACTCTTGACAATCTTTTTTTAAAAAAATGTTTTGCCTTTTAGAGGGGCATGAGAAAGTGAAAGCATTCTACATTATCTTCAGTGTTTTTTCTGTGATCGACAATAAGTTGGGAATGATTTCATATGCTTATTGTCATTCTTTTCTTCTGTTTTTAAATTTGGTTTTTATATCTTTGCTAGTTTTGTGTGTGTGTGTGTGTGTGTGTGTGTGTGTGTGTGTGTACTAAGCGCTAAGGAATGAAGTCAGGGTCCCATGCTAGGCAAACCCTCTACCACTTAGCTACATCTCCAACACTAAATTTGTATTTTTGAGAGAGGGTCTTGCCTGTTTACTCAGGCTGATCTTGAACTTGCAATTTTCCTTCCTCAGCCTCCAAAGTAGATGGAATATAGACACATACTCCTGAGCTTGGCTCCTTTATTTTTCCATTGAGTTGTATTTATTTCTTTATTGGGTTGTAGAAGTTTTCTTTTTTGTGTTCTGGAATCTGATCATCTACCTGTTGTGTGTATTGTAAATATCTTCTTTTATTGTTTAACTTTGTATGTTGCTTTTCTATTTCCTTTAAAGCTTGTGCTTTCTGAGTTTATGTAAAAAAATCCATCCTGGCCCTGAGGTTATGTGCATATCCCCCCTTTTCCTAATGGCTTTAATGTTTCCTCCCATATTTAGCTTTAATTCATGTGGTATTCGTTTTTGTTTATGTTGTGAGATAGGGATTTTAATAAATAGCTAATAGACTACATCTCCTCAATAATTTACACTACTATTTATATCATATTTCGTGCTTTCATATATCAATTTATGTCTACTCTCTTCTGTTGACCTGTTTGTCCATTTCTCTATCAACATGTTTGGTTCATTAGAACTTAATATGATTTTATTCCTGGTAAAGCAAGCGTCTTATTCATTATCCCGCCCAACCTGCTCCTGTGTTAAAGTTGTCTAGATGCCAGACCTTTTTTCTTTTTGCTTCTAGACACACTCCAATACACATGGATGTGCTTGTTGCTTAGGGATCATATTACATACAGTTCTGATGCTTACTTCTTTCACGCACCAGTACATCTCAGATATACTTGTATCCTCCCACATCAATACACAGCAGTACACAAAGATTCACTCATTTTTAACAGTTATGGATACTTGCATATTATGGGAATATAGTAAGACCATCTGTAACTGATGGACATTTAGATTGTCTCCCTTTTTCATTTTGACAGAGTACTGCTGCAAAGTAAGCTTGTGGAATGTGCAGAGGAGTTCTAGAGGCGGAACTGCCCTATCACAGGGCATGCTAGTGATTTTTAAAGGGGATGTTAAAGTCAGTGGCGTGCAGGAGCTCACTGGGTACCCAGGGTATGGGTCACACAAACAAAGATAGATTACAATATGCACAGGATCTCAGGCCAGAGGATGGGTCTGTTCAGTAATGGGGAGAATGAGGATAACCTAATTGCAATGAGGAGACAGAAGAAAAGAGTGTGGGAAATCAGAAGTGACCCTAGGAAGTAACCATTCTAGAATCCCCAGAAAACACTGAAATTTAAAAACATACCATACCTGGAATATTGGACTTTGGGAGAGGAAAATTAGAGGGATACATAGCTGTCCATGAAAAGGTCAACGAGTGACCTTTCCTTGTATACCCCTTGGTACTACTGTTGATGTTTTCTGGTTACTACTTAAATATGCAATTATAATATTTTAAGGTTGTTTACCAAAGAAGCTCTTTTCTTATTTCACAGCGTTTCTTCCATAACCTAGAGCAGTATTAGGTACAGTGAACATAGCAAAAGGAAAATTTAACGGTTGTACAAGAAATAAATATCCTTAGGGCCAGGAATGTAGCTCACTGGGACAGCATCTGCCTGGCAAGCACAAGTCCCTGACTTTGATTCCTGGTATCAGAAAAGAAAGAAAGAAAGAAAGATCCTTATCCTTGGGACCTTCCCTAAACTCCTGTCAGTGCCTCAAGAATTTGAAGGCACACTGGATTTTTCTGTGAGCACATAGTTTCCAGCCTCTTTCTCTAAGTGGGGTCTCTCACACTTCCGCCTCAGGCACACCCAGGAAAGGTGGTTTAACAAGTTGCTAGCTCCACTCTCACTCTCCTGATTCCTTATATCTCTACCACTATTCAAACAAGCTCCCTGGAGATGCTGCTGTTTCAACCCCTTGCCTAGATCACTGTTCCAGAGCAGCTGATCTCAAACCAAAAGGTGAATACAAGTCACCAGTGATTTGTCACTATTGGGACTCTAATTCAGGGGGGCTTAGATAAGGTCTGATATGCACCTTTTCTAAACAACTTCCAGGAATGCTGCTGCTGATGCCGACATTTAGAGCATGATTAGAAAAGTTGCCCACGTTTTTTCAGGGACCACTGACCTGAGGCCCTCGGGAGAGTTTGGGAGAGGAGGACAGAGGTCAGACATTGCACCTGTTCAGCGCCACAGGCAGATGGGACCAGTGAGGACAGCAGGTGTCTCACCTGGCGGCAGGAAGAGCGTGGCCAGCACCCGGCCCTCCCGCACGGGCACGCGCCGCACCC